GGGAATTTACCCAGGGTCATGAAGTTAAGACTGAACTGAACCAGAATCTTCTAGTTCCTAGTCCGACATACTCATTTCTACACCCTAGTAACTCCCCCAAAAGTTTGAGAAGAAGTTTTGTATATTTGTATAAGAAAGTGTTTTAATTCCTTCATTTGAAAACATATGGATATCAAAAGTATGAGTGGCTACAACCAAAATACACAAGCCATAGGATGTCGGAGAACCGATTTCACCCTGATACTACCATATATTTTATCCGTGACTGTGGGAAATAAGCTTTCTACTCTGTAACTCCATTGTTTCTTTTCACTGGCAAAATAGTGATGACATTGTACATGGCTCCCCTAACCTAAATGACTCCAGAAGATTCACGTTCATTTTCCACGAATGGAGAATCCCTCAAGGTGGTGGAAAGCTGCAGGTCCTCTGAGAGTAAAGGGCACAAAAGTAGTTGCTCTTAAAAGAAAGAATTGGAAGGGCAGGATGGTCAGCCCTTAGGCAAGCCTGGGTCTACTCCGTGCTCCCAGCTGGGAGCTGAGGTAACAGAAAAGGAACTGGGAGATTGTATTCCTAGGTCTATACCAAGAGCCTTTCTGCTCACTTTCCAACTCTGCTCTGTGTGTGTATATTTGTTTCTATATGTGTGTACATATGTGACATTTTCCAGCATGATCCCTGTCCAAATTATTCTGTCCTATTTTGAGTACTTGGGTCAGAATTTATATCTAAATTTTTTATTTAGAAACATGATAATTGTATAAATAGTGAGCAATATGAGGCCCCCCTGATATTATTCATCCTCTTACATGTGGATCAGAACTTGGCTTCCTGAGAAAACTTTTCTAATTTTACCTCCTCGGGGAAAGAGAGTCAGCTCTCTTTAAGATATCCGAGACTGGTTAGTTTAACTGTGGTGCCCCCTAGTGCCCTAAGAGATTAGATTCACTTTCTATATTTGCCAATATGTGGACCACGTAAGAGAAGTGAAATTTGGAGAAGCAACCAATTTGGTAATTTTCCCTGTATTTTCTTCTGAATAGCGTGGAATGAAGCGCATTCCCTTAGCATGAGTCACAAGATCCTTTGTCATCTGCCCCCACCTGGATTTTCAGCCTCCTCTTCTGCCGCTTTCCCCTGTGAACGCTCAACTTCAACCATTCTTAACAACTTGCTGTTCTACCTAGAAAGCTTTCTGCCCCTGCCCAACCGCCATCATCCCTCTTGCCTGTTTAAGGAATTTCACTTCTGCTTCTAATATCAGCTGAAGCATTACCTCCTTCCCCAACGTTTACCCTTTCTGAGTTTGTTTTATCTGCAAATAGACTATGTCTAATGCCTGCTCAAAAATCCAACAGTTTTATACATTTTTATTAGTATCTCCTTGACGAGCTTCAAAACACAAAGTGACAAATCAGCTCAACACTTCAGATGTTTCTTTTTAATTCCCATAGAATTTCTTATGAAATGCAAATTCAATTGCTTGAAAATCATTTATTTGCATGTCTGTCCTAAAAAAAGAATCTCTAAAAATCTTGTTCAATTACATGGGGACACATTTAAATTGAGCTCATCTGAGAGAAGATTTTTCAGGCAAAAATGCCTCTTTTTCTTCCCAATTGATACAAAAAAAAGTCCAAATTATAGCCTAGAACTTCATCAAGAAACTGTGAATTCTGATTCTGGCCACCACTGACACAGATCTGGTCAACTCACTTTCCAAGTACCTCCACTTCTGCTCTTCCCAACAGTAAAAGTGATAAGACTGTAAACCTTTAACTGTGGGATTGGCTGAAAAATTGTCAGTAAGCCCCTCACATCTATCAAGTGCTATGCTAAAGGTGATACAAATCTTGGGAGAGCCCGGCTCCAATAGTCCTGAGACAGGGACACAATTTGCAAAAGCTTCTCACCTTATTGGTCGGCTTTTTTTCTGCTGTTGTTCCCAGCTGAAGTTACAGGTATGACTGGAAGCCTGGTACTTTAAACAGCAACCCCAATAAATATCCATATAGTGTGTACTGTTTTTGGTAACAGAATCACTCAATTTTATAACTTGTATCATGGATATTCTCCTAGGGCATCCACTTCTTTCCCCTTTCTAAATTTGGCTAACCCAGAATAGGTTATTTAGATATGAACATAGTATAGAAATAAGTACAGATTACAAATATGTACACAAATTTTATTCCCTCAGCCTCATCTTAAGAACCAGGAAATCCATAAGCTTAGACACAAAAATTTGTTTACTTATATTTTATATTTCTCAAATCTTCATATCCATTGTAGGAATATATATAAACTACATACTCACAGGGTATTGAACTGGAAAAGATCTTTCTGATCATTTGATCCAATTGCCTCGTTACAGATGAGAAGGAAGTGAATTATATGAGGAGTGGGTAAGGTCTATCCTTTTTTCTGGCATCTCAAAAATGCAAACTTCTGCTTTTCACATAAGTAAATAAAACTTAACTGAGTGGTGAGAAAACAAACGTTACTAAATGAACTTGATGGAAGAGAAAGTTGAGTGTCAAATGGAGTTTAACGGTTACATCTGTGTTTTTTACAGAACCATCCATGTAGGCACTTATTTTATAAGGCTAAAACTTAAATCTAAGAAATAAGGGAAAATCATGATCACTCGCCAAGTATCTTTCTCCTACAATAAAATTTACCTGGGTAAATGATGAGCATCTCAGCTGTGTCACTCCCTATACACATCACCATAATATTACGTCTTACGAACGTAGAGGTTTGAATTACATCCGCACTTACCCCAACCTTCAACCAAAATTCCAAACAACCTTATCGATGAGTATAGAAAGGCTACCAGTCTATGAACCTTTTTCAATAGCTACTCTACACTTTTCTCTTTCTCTCTCTCTCTCTCTCTCTCTCTCTCTCACACACACACACACACACACTACTGCCACCCCTGCCGCCACCACCATTTGATCAAGTTCCAGGGAGAACACACACAATCTAGCTATGATACCCTCCCTCCTAATAAACTATATGAGATTAACTGTAAGAACGCACTGTGCTGCCCTGGGTCCTATAGCAGTTAAGAAATTGTTAGCTAAAACAGTCTAGCTAGAAAGAAGAAAAAAAATTAAAGTTAATGTCAAGTGAAGAATTTCAAATATCTGTGCCAAAAGCATTCTGTATCCAGGGTATATGAGAGAATGTTCCTTGAGCAAACAGCTCTAACATACCTCCTATGTCTTTGCTTGCATTTCTGTGACAGGACCGGAGAAAGCTAATTCTCTCCCAGAGATCAGCTCAGCATGAATTCTAGTGTCCCGGAAACCCGCCCTCAGCTTTCCTTTCAAGCTCTGTCAGAGTTGCTGTGTGACTTGCCAGAAAGGACCCCTCTCCTTCTCAGCGTCCCCTGGGTATTGACAGTCCAGGCAGCCCCACCACCAGCTGACTATAGATCTGTTTTACCTTTTGCTCTGCCCTGCTCAGAGCCCGAGCGCAACGGTTGAGCCTTGACTGGGGCCATCTGTCCTGTCTTTTTTTCATCCCACAGTGTAAGGAAATATGTAACACTGTGGTTGTTTGAGAAAGCACTCTCAGGGCTCCCAGACCTGGTGAAGGCATTCAGCTGTTCTATTTTTGGTCACTCTCATTGTTTTCTTCTCGGAAGAGCCTAATTCCGGTCTGCGTCTTGGGCATCCTGCCATGGACACATTGCTCCTCCCCCGCACCTTCTCCCCAAATCGCCTACTCTAATTTCACCCAAAGGGTTCTGCACAGAGAAGGAAGCATGCAGCATGATGAGGAGAGGGCGAGTGCGTTTTTGTGCTCACCGGTCTGCAGACGAGAGCATGAGAACAACTACACTCCTAGAATTTGGGGACATGAGCCCTCTCTGTGGGACAGTGATCACGACCGCACTCCCACCAGCCTCGGTGCACCAAAAACCCCCATTTCCTGTAGGCAAAGACAAGCCCAGGCATTGGTCAGGACTTGGCTCATCTTATCCCTGTCTACTTTGAGGTACCCAGTCCCTGACATGGCCATTAGAAATAAAAGTTCCTATTGTCTGACCTTTACCAGGGAGAGACTTTTCCAACACAAAGCAAACCGCCGGGGAAACAAGAATTAATCACACTAGCCGCAACAAGGGAACATGGCAAGACTATATACTTATTTTCTTTTCAATGGAATCTCCTGCAGTCAAGAACATCCTAAAAGACCTTATAATGTTTGTAGATATGAGCAAGTAAATAAGAAAAAATAACATAAAAGGGACCAGAATAAAGAGAAGGAAAAATGGAAAAAGTATCTTCATTAAGTTAGGGAAATGCTAGAAGGGTGATTATCCATTACATAATGTATTGGACAAAGTGAAAAAAGAGACAAAGGATGTCTATACGTTGTGATTGGTAGAGAAAGACTGTGAGAAACAACATCTGATTAAGTTGGGGTAAACGTTTGGCCGTGTGCACATTTGCACGTGAACACACACATCTCTGCCCTTAAAATACACAAGTTAGCTATTTGAAAGAACTTAATATTGATACTTTCCGCATTCTTCTAAAAGCAAATCTCCTTGAGTGTCTATGGGGTTTATGAATACAACGGGAAAGTGAACCGGTCTCTTTCTTGTTTCTTTTTTACATTAATCAAAGGCTTACAAGCAGAATGGGTAAACCAAGTATATCAGTGACTCACAGCTTCAGAGTGACAGCTCATAAAGGAATACGAGGATTCTTGCATTGCAAAGAAAAGGAGAAACATCCAGAAGCAGCACCCTTCCCCTACCTCTCCTGTGCCCCACCACTACCCCTGCTAAAAAGAAGGAAGGAAAAGAGAGGCAGGAGGGTGTGTGACCACAGGTTACAATTGTTGAGGCGGGGGGGGGGGGGGGGGGGGGGGGGGGGCAACGCAACAATTCTGGCATCAGATTATTTGCAAGTCATTGTTTGCAGCTGTTGGAGCTGCCATCAGCATGAGCTGGAGGAAACAGAGAACCCAGTGGTGCATCTTACCTGAGAAGTATAAAAGTGCAGGCAGACGTAGGTGAGACACAGGAGCAGCCCCAACCCCTGAATGATGGAGGTCACCAGCAATAGCTTGTTCCTCTGGAATCTCCGCCCGGGTGTGTTTCCCACATTCTCCTCCAGGGGTTGGACCCCTTCCATCTTCACAATCTGGATGCAGGGAAGATGAAGACTAGCAGAGGGGAATCTGAGGGAGGACTGACCTCTTCCCCACAAAGAAGGAGTTGAAGGCAAAACAGAGTGTAATAATTAGAAAATACAGAGGTCCCAGAACCAGAGACAAGAGGCGATTGAAAGAGCAGAGCGGACTCTCTCAGTTTTAACGCTGCAGCTTTTGCAGGCAGGCGGGGGAACTTCTTTGTGACTAATCTGAATTTCCCCTTTACTTTCTTTCTTTTTTTTCTCTCTGGGCTAACAGGGAGTTGTTTTTGTGGCATTCCAGTTCTGATTTGAGTGACTGTGAAATGACAGTCATAAAAGTGTGCTATTTTCTTAATTTCTCATTGCACTGGTAACCAAATTGTGGGTCACTTGATAAAGATAAAAATCATCATCCGTTGATGTAGCAGCTCAGCTATCCCGTCCCCAAGGTGTCTTAAATCATAGAAGAGATTTAAGGAAAGTGCTGGCCTTAAGTTCTTATTGACTTTATTAGGTAACTAAGCATTGAACCCATTCACAGATTCAGAAAAAAAAGGCACACACAGATCATTCTTGGGATGAAAAAGAGAAAAGAAGAAAATAGGATGGTGGGTCATGTAGAAATAAAGAAGTGAGATCCTCTAGTTTTAGTCCATTATATTATAACAAATAAACTAGTATATATTGGGCAAGGACTAAGTGTTAGACACAGTATAGACAGCCTTACAATCTTTTTCTCACTTAATCCTTTGAGGCAAATTTAGTAAACACCTGTATGATTAACTTTACACATAGTAGAAAAAGAGCAGAAGAGTGTACTGACTTTTCCCCCTTTGCGCCACTTGACATTTGCCCCATACTTGATTTTTGCATGAGTGAACAAATGGATAGAGCCAAATAAGCTTTGAAGGTCATTCCTTTCTTTGAGGTCAGGGGTGGACTCAACCTGGAAAGTAAAAGTAGTCTACCAATAGACAGACACTGCTTACCCTCTACCACTGAAATAAGTGATAAAATGAAATAAATGATAAAATTATTTATAATGTCAAGTTCAAATTGACAAATATTTACTGAGTACATAGTAAGCCCAACACTGTACTGGGTGACATAGGGATGGTGGGAGGGGCAGTTTAAGGTAGAATTCTGTCTCTTCTGTGCACAAACATGCCTCTCTGAGCTCCCCATCAGCCACTCAACAGATATTTAAAGAAAGAACGGAGGGAGGAATATTTTGATATCAACAATATGAGATGTTATATGCAACTTAATTTTATCTAAAATGCCTATGAGACATATTCAAAAGAAAAAGTTTATGAGAAATGGAAAGTACATTTATTATTATAGTATTAATCAATTAAAACGTGAATTAATATCCTCATTATAATCATTATGCCTTGCATTTGGGGAACATATTGGTCTTTAGAAGTTCAAGTTTTTGTCTGAAAGAAAAGGTAACTGAGACTCTGTATTATAGACTCCAAGCCTAAACTAGAAATCATTTCATCTAAATTTATCTCGGAATAGTTATTCCTCTGAGCAAAGTATGTGTAACATGCAGGGTGTGGAGAAAAACCACTAAGAGAAAAATCAGTGTGTAGAGCCCAATTCTTGTGTCATAGTTGATAGTCATAAATAAATATTAAAATTGGTAACCGCTTACACTCTTATTTTCAAAAACTGACTAAACAAGTCCCAGCAAAAAAGCCTAAAATAATATTGGAAACTGAAAAGACCAGCTGAAAAGGAAATAGTTAAAACTATTAATGCTGAAATTCATAGAAAATATTTTTTAATGACTGCCAAAGGGATGAAAAAGATAAACAGAGTGCATAGTTGTGCTCTGAACAGGGTGTCTTCTCACTGTTAACATCATGGCTTCTATGAAGAAAAGTTGACAATTACTGTTTTTCCTTATAGACAATAAGAACTATACAACAGGGTGAGTTTCCATTTTTTGTGTTGTCCCAGGAAAGCACAGTGTCAATATACCAACATTTAGGCCTGCACAGCTAAGGCACACCTCTCATCTCCCTTGTCAGTTTCCTACTGCCAGATTTTGCCTACTTGTGATTTTTTGTTGAAGTTTAAGTGATGTTTTGCATCTAATGTTTTCTTTTCTTTTTTTTTTTTTTGAGGAAGATTAGCCCCCTGAGCTAACACCCACCACCAATCCTCCTCTTTTTGCCGAGGAAGATTGGCCCTGAGCTAATATCATGCCCATCTGCCTCTATTTTATATGTGGGATGCCTGTCACAGCATGGCTTGATAAGCCGTGCATAGGTCCATGCCTGGGATCCGTATAGGTGAACCCTGGGTCACTGAAGTAGAGTGTGCAAACTTAGCCACTACACTACTGGGCCAGCCCCTACTTTTTTCATTTTTTATTGAACACATTCTCACAGCTTATGCACGTTTTCTGTGGGACAAGGGGGAATATACACAGAAAAATCAATTAGCCTGGAAGTTCCAGGCAAGGTCTTTTGATAGACTATGTAAGCATTTCAAAGTTCATCACTGAAATGGTCCAGCATTTGGAACAAGTGAAACCACCATCAGAGATATTACTGATGGCATTTTAATCTCAAACAGATGGACAGAGTCCTCCATCTTCAAAGTTGACATGTTTTTAAAGAGGTCAAGTGTGTTACCTGAATCTACTGGCAATTTTTTTTAAACATCTCACAAAGGTCAAAGACATAGACACACCAGAGCAAACCAGCCTTCAAATAAGAGCCTCAGACTTCATTCCAAGCAATTATCTTCCCATGGATCTTTAAACTGTAAATGAATAGCCATTTCAAGACTACAGAAAGGTACACAAAATAAAAAGCCTTTGACAATTGACGGAATACTCGTGTTTAGAAAGCTGCAAAAACTTTTTTTGACTTTTTGGCTTTTGTGGGGGTTCTTTGTTGTTTTGTTTTGTTCGTTTGATTGGGGTTTTTTCGCAGGGGTTGGCAGGGGCTGGGTTAGAGGGGTTGTTGGAGGTAAAATCTGCACTTTTCATTTATTTCTAAGTCATACGTCCATTCAACAAGCATGAGCCAGGTGTCTACATACTGGTGCTGGGGGAAAAAGAAATGAACAAAACACATTCTTCATCCTCCAGGAGGTCACAGACAGGAAGTCAGGACAATCACAGCCAGCAAAGTGTTGGGTCCTGGGTGGCTGTGCAGGAAGGAAGGGTGTGTGGGGGTGGGTTCTGGTTCAGATCGGAGTTAAGATGAGAACAACTTGAGATGAGTCAAGTAAATCCTGGAGAAACCAGAAGCTGCTGGCCATCTGGGGAAGTAGGGATGGGCAGTAATTGCCGGGCAGGGAGTAAGGGAAATGCAGTCTGGGCGAAGCCTACTAGTGCACTGCCCACTTGGGGAACTGCGACTGGAGAGGAGGATGGAGGAGAATCGCCCAGGGAAGAGGCTGAGAAGCTGTCATAAATGGACTTTTGTTACGAGTTAAGAACTTTGAACTTTATCCTGAGGGCACTGGGCAAACAGAAAGGTTTGAAGCAGAATGTGATCTGATTACATTTTAGAAAAAAATCACTCTGAGTGAAATAGAAATGGCAGGATGGGATCGAGGAGACCAGCTGGGAGTCGTCTCCAGGGTGCCCTGTGCCAGCTGAGGAGATGAGTAGGATCTAACACCCACCTCTGCAGTCAGCTCTCCAAGCCCTCCATCCTGGAGCGGGAAGTTTTGTCCTACGGGAAGGGGAGATTTTGTCTTCCAAGAAAAGTGTGCTCTGCTTCCCAAGCCCTGAACAAAGGGCTGCATCCAGCCAGATAAAGGCCCTGTTTTCTAATTTATAAACTCATAGAGGAAAGCTTGTTCTAATTCACACAAAGATAGCAGTATGAGCTGGGGCGGTCCTTGGGTTTGCGATTATTCAAGGGAGAAATAATAAGGTCTTAAACTAAAGCAGAGAGGAGAAGGCACTTACAGGGGCTATTCATTCACCAAACGTTTTAAGAGCCTGCTCTGTGTCAATCTCTGAGCACACCAAGAAAGTCATTATCAAGCTCTGCCCTGGCATAGGTGACAGAGTGAGATGGGAGGTGATGGGAACAAATGCATTGCAAATGTCAAAAACCTGATTTGCATCTGCCTTCTCAACCTGTTTTTGATCCTAATGTCCCCATTCTGGTTAATGTTTTCAGCACTCTGGACCCTAGAATCAGCTTTGACTCCTCCTTGCCTTCAATCTGTCAAGCTTTGTAGAGCTATGCCTGTAATATGGCTCATACTTTCCTCTGCTTTGCCATTCCGACTGCTTTTGACCCAAGTCCTTATTACTCCTCACTTGAACTCTTGAATGAAAGGTCCAGATGTTCTCCCTGCCTTCATTCTCTTGATCTCCAATCCATTCTGCTTTGGCAGGCTCTTTAAACCCAGTGATGACCAAGATCCTGTCAAGGGCCTGTACCTCATAGAAGACAAAGTTGAGATTCTTTAGCTTGATATTCAGGTTATTCCACAATGGAACCCCAAGTGTCTTTTCCAAACTTATCTCCCTCTATTTCCTGATTATTTCTGATAGCACTTTGCCTCAAATATCTTTACGCTCCATCTCCGACAATCAAACTCCTACACGCTCCACAATTTCCATGAAAGGTTGGCTGCCTTGTGAGGTAGTGAGCTTTCAGTGTTCCAGAAGAGGCTAAACAGAAACTGTGAAAGGGACTGGCCCCATGGGCTAGTGGTTAGAGTTCCCTGCACTCCGCTTCGATAGACTGGGGTTCACATATTCAGATCCTGGTGAGGACCTACTCCACTCATCAGCCATGCTGTGGAGGCATCCCACAAGCAAAAAATACAGGAGGATTGGCACAGATGTTAGCTCAGGGCTAATCTTGCTCAAGGGAAAAAGAAGAGGATGGGCAATGGATGTTAGCTCAGGGCGAACCTTCCTCGGAAAAAAAACAAAAGCAAAAACCCAGAAGGAATACTGTTCAGGGGATCCTCACATGGAGAAGGGGATTTGTAAGATCGGTAGGACCCAAAGCCCAGTTGATCATCAGAATCACTAGGAAAGCTTTTGAAAGATGCAGATTCCTAATTCTCTCACTCTAAAAATTCTGATTAGAGAAGTTTGGAGTAGTGCCTTGTGAATCTGTATTTCTAAAAGCTTCCAGAAAAGCCAGATTTGTGCATCTCCCCAAATAGCCTCATAAAATCTCTTCACTGTTACATTTCTATAAG